GGTGCACAAAGCAATCTACAAAAACTGAGGCCTCGCCGTGAACCCACAACGTGGCAGCCGTTGAAGACCCCGCAACCGCCCCTCCCCCTCGCATGACGAGCCGCTTCCACCACGCCACCAGAACTGAAGTCATGACCACGCGACGCGCCACCTGCGTGGCCGCAAAGAAATCGTACGCAGGTAAAAAAGGTGCATCCACGCCGTGGGCGTCAAGAGGGTGCAATACCACGTCCAATTGCCGCGTCAAGACGCGCCGCCCCTCCTTTAGTGGCGTCACCCTGCAACGCGGCATTGCCCGTACAGAGGCCAATGCGTTGAGCCAAACACTCGGCGCACGTCGACAAAGCAGGAGGATCCGTCCGTGCTTCCGCCTGCATGAGAAAAGAGTTGCGGGAGCTCCGCAGCGATGCCCCTCTGCCACCTCGACGCCCTCCACAGCTGGAAGAAGCAAAGCATTTCCCAACCGTGCAAATCCACGTCCGTGGTGCGGCAACTCGTCGGGTGCCTGTGATTTTTAACGGCGCTCCGCCCGTACCTGCGGAAGTCCCGAGAGCAACGCAACGCCACGATTGACAGCCACCAGGGAAAAGACTAGCTTTGGATCGCGCAAGAAGATTCCCTCAATTCAAAGCGGACATGCGCCGTCATGCCGCCCCGGAAAAAAACAACTTCATCGAGCCAACGCCCACAATTGCCGCGGCATGTAGTAAATTAGAGGCGGCAACCCCCATCGCAGCCACCGTCCAGATCCATGGTGTGCTCTTTAATTTGTGTGAGCATGTGGAAAACCTTGGGCGATCTTTAGGCTCCGCCCGAAGCCCAGAGGAAACACAAAGTCGTGCACGTTGCAGTTGGATGCTTCGTGGCCAAATAAATTGTAGCAGTGACGGCGAGGGAGCTGTTTTGGTTGTTCCTTGCAAGCCAACAAAAAAGTGGTCTCTGCAAACGTGCCTGCCTCGTTCAACAGTGCTCATGAACGTGACCGCAAGATTGGAGTCGAGTGCGGAGGCGCGCGCATCATAAAGCAGCGACAACCAGAAAGCAGGCATTGGCGTGTTGCTGGTGCATCGCTTGCAGCCGCACTCCAAAACGTCCTCAAAAAAATCCTTGCAACCCTTGTGGGCGCCCATCCCCAGGAGCTAAACGCCCTGTGCGGCAGGTAGCTCCACACACCGTGCGAAACTCCGGGATCATTCTGCATCCTCCGACACGTCCCCCCCAGACGTCCGCGCCACTGGCGGGTCCTTTGGAAAGATATATATATATATATATATATATGATTGCATTCGGGGGCCCCACAAACATCATCATCGTTGTCGTTGTCGTTGTCGTCGTCGCCGCCGTGATGCAAAACGGAGGTCGCCGAGATCCCCCACGGGAAAGGAAGACTACTGCATTGTGTGGTTAGCCTCCCAAGGGTCAAATGAAGTGGACTCAGCCGGCGCTGCGGAAACACCCTCCCACCGGGTCTACTCGCTACCTTCTTCACCGCCGCGTCTCTGGGAGCACAACAAATCAACTGGTCGCCAAGGAAAGAAACAAGCAGGGGAGTTTACCAACGGGACACTGTTTTATTCAGCCCCGCCACTTCGCACCTACCTCTTGCAGTCAAACTTCCACGCGAAAAACATCTCAGCTTAATCTTTCTGTAGTAGTAACATTTTTTGTTCTTGCCGTTGCCACGGGTAAATGAAGTAAAAGTATTTCCCTCTTTCCCGTGCGTCTGATGAATGGTTAAGACCCTCGTTTAAGAGAGCGGTGCGGACGTGGATGAGTTGTTGCTGAGGACTGCGCGCGGGAGCACCCACACACAGATAGACACGTACACGCGCAAATGCACCACCCCATCCGTCCCCGCGGAAAAACGCAACCAACACGACAACACTGACCACAAGGTGCAGCAAGGCCACTTTCGGGCGGATAATAAAACACCATGCGCCCCGCCCCCCGTCCTTACAGCTTGGTAGCATTCACTCACACCCCTGTTCCCGCTTTTTTTTTTTTCCTGCCTCATCGCCCCAACCCACTCGCCCACATTTTCTAAAAAGTGTCTTTGTAAAACGAAAAGAACACACACCATAACAAAGCATATACACAGAGAGAGAAAGAAAGACCGACAGTAAAAAAAAAAAAAAAGGGTGGGGTGGGGTGGGGTGGGGTGGGGGGAGGCAACAAAAAAGGGAGTTCCTCAGCGCTAGTAAACGCATCTCATTTGCAGTACGGCAAGTTCTACAGCTAAAGTTCAGTGATGCCATCTGCACCGTCCACCAGGTCAGTACGTGCATATGTATCTCTCTCTCTCTAATAGAGATACATAAGTAAAATAAAAAAAACTTCGTTAATTATAAGAAAAACAAAAATGAGAGATGCGGTAAGTATAAAATAACTTCAATCCAAACGGTAACATCTCCTCCTCCTCGCTGGCTCTCACCCACGTCAAAAGACACCACCTTGTTAATCCACGTTATACACTACCACCTCCATATGACCCCTCGCTCCGCATCATACCAAGTCACAACTCACATGAGCGGTGTGGGGCGGAGGTTTGGGCGGTTGTCTGGGAAGTTGGGGTGCTGGCGCGCCTCCGGGTAGTACTTCAGCACGTACGGGTGCATCGTCATCTGTCGCGCCGTCAGACGCTTCTGACGATCGAAGTGCAGCAGGCCGTGGATTAGGTCGCACAGCAGCTTGTCGGAGATGACCTCACGCACCGGCCGTGCCCGAGCAATACGGGCAAGATGCTTTGGGTCGATGCAGGGACGCAGCTGCGCCACGGAGTTGTACAGCTGGCGCGCCTCCTCTGTGCCGCAGCGCCCCGCCCACTCCGGCGGCAGGCGGCCAAGCGTCTTCTCCATCAGGTGCAGATGCTCGAGGTTGTCGTGGGTGTCGTACAGCAGCTTGCCTGTGTGAAGCTCGTAGATGATGCAGCCCATGGACCACATGTCCGTCGAGTACATCCACCCCA